ATTTTCTTATCGTATTATTTCACTACCATTGCTCGTTTCTCTATCACGAAGGAAGAAGACAGAAGTCGGAAAGGGCAACACTCACGGATAGAAAAAGACAGAAAAGCAGGGAAAGAAACTTTTGCAAAGTCGAATTTTAAACTCTCATCACTGGTGAGAGAAGAGTTTCCAAATTTATTCAATAAATTCCGGCGGTAGAAAAAGCGATAGCACTCGCGTTACCGTGTTTCTCCGCTCGCGTATTCGATTCGATTTAACGAATACCGGCTTCCGGATAACTTCCGGTTTTCCAGCGCGTCACGAAGAAAGTTCTCGTTGGTGCTCGAGGAACGCTGTTCAAGTCTCAAGTCCGACTGGCCATGCTCGTTTATCGCGATATCACGTTGCGATTATGAATGATTCGTGCCTCCAGCGCGCGTAGCTGTACATAGACTGCTCCTTGATCGGCGTCGGTGCTCCTTTAATATCGTGGATGGCCGGAAGCGTCGGAAACGCGGACCGTAAAAGGAACGAATAGCTCGCGTGATCATAGATCGCCGAGGGATCGCCCGTTATTTTTTTTTTCTCGCTCGAACGAACAGGGTGCGTGGCCGCCGAGGGAGAATAAAAGCAGAAACATTTACGAGAGGGTGAAGAAGGATCGCGGCGGATCTATCCTATCACGTATGTACGTGTATGTACGTATCTATCTGCTTGCCCTTCTCGCCTATGCGAGACCCTACCGATTTGCGTAAACACGCTATAATTTATGGGGGGTTTCCATCCCTTCGTCGCGGTTAGCACCCTCACAAGTTACGAGAATCCTCCGCGTATAGTCGGGAGATTAGGCTTCTCTGGTTGATCAGTTTTCTATTTTCTCTCTCTTTGTCTTTCTGATCAATAGTGTTGTCTTTTTCGATCAATTTATCACGACAACGAGAGCGAAATGGGTCTCGGGATCTGATTATTATTTTTCGATCCCTGTTGCCGCCTCGAGCGATACCGCAACACCGAAGACATCACTGAGATCTCGAGGAGATATTTTCTCGTGTATTTTTTTCTATTCTTCTCTCTTGGCCACAGGAAAGATCGGGTTTTACGATTTCGCCATCGCATGAAGCTACCCGCGGTCCCGCCCCTTTATCTCCCCGTCGAGGTAATTCGCAAATGGAATAACGTCCCTCGCGGAACAAAGGACGGGTAGACAGAAAACCTCGTGTCGCATTGTCTGAGATTTTTCGTGCGATAGCGTTAGACCCGCGGTTTCCGCACGAAACTAGTTGTGAGAGAAAGAGAGAGCGCGCGCGCGCGCGCGAGAATTCTTCTATCGTCTTTCGCCAAATCGTTTTAATCGTTTGAAGTGAAAAGGATAAGGAAAGATCGGAGACAGAGACAACTTTCGTACAATTGGATGTCGAACTATTAGAATAAAGAACTGAGCTAATCATAAAACCTAATCTAAGGAACAGCTCTACCAGAAAATAAATTCTTATAAAATAAAAATTGTGTATTCAAAAGACAGAAATATTTAACAGAAAATTATTAATGTTATCGGAAAGAGAAAGCTGGAGAGAGAATTTTTCTTTTCGTATGAAAGAGTACATATAAAAATACGAGAGTGCAGTGAATAAAATGGAAAGGCGAAAATAATTATAATAAAAATATAATAAGTATATATTTAACAGATGATAATTTTTTTAAAGGATTTATCCGCTGTGTATTATTCTACCGTAATTTATTCAAAAAGTGCGAGTATTCATTATACGAAGAAGGGTTCGAGTTACATGCTTTTCGTTCGTGTTGAACAGAATCAAGTTCCAGTTAAAATACGATGAGCTGGAATACGAAAATCTCTCTATATATATATA